TATATATATATATATAATTATTAGTATTCTTTTTATTTTATTATTTTATATTCTTTTTATATTTTAATTTATTTATTTATTTATTTATTTATTTATTTATTTATTTATTTATTTGTGTATTTGTTTATTTATTTATTTGCTGCTGCTCATTATCTATTCTCCTGATTTTGTTGCTGCTGCTGCTGCTGCTGCCGCTGCTGCTGCTCTTGCTGCTGGTGGTGCTGCTGCTAGTGGTGGTGGTTATTTATCCCTTTTTATCTTTTTCTTCTTTCTTTGTTTGTTTCTTTGTTTGTTTGTTTGTTGTTCTTGTTCTTGTTGTTTATTGTTATTGTTTATTGTTATTGTTTATTGTTATTGTTTATTGTTATTAATTGTATAATAATAATAATAATAATAATAAAATATATAATAATAATATAATATATAATAATATATAATAATAATATAATATATATAATGTTTATTTAAATAAATGGTTGCTGCTGCATGGCTAACAGACAGACAGACAGACAAAGAAATAAATAAATAAATAAATAAACAAAGAAATAAATAAACAGACAGAGAGACAGACAGACAGGTGTTATCAATAAGAAGAATTTAAATAAATAAATAAATAAATAAGTAAATAAATAAATAAATAAATAATTTAGTTTTAGTCTAATTAATCAATTAATAAGACCAATTATATTTGTGGGCACAAGAAGGATAAATAAATAAATAAAATAAATAAATAAAAGGAAAAAAATATTTATTTTAATCGTTTTCTTTAAAAAAGACGAATTATGCATGCATATATGCATGCATGCATGAATGGATGCATATATGTGTGTATATGCATGCATGCATGCATGCAAGTGCATGCATGCACTTTGTCTATTAGGAGAGGTATATATATATTCATTATGTATAGGAGGGAATATTGTTGTGCTTTTTTCCTTCTTTTCCTTAGTTTAAATATAAATATAAATATAAATACAAAGACATGCATGCATGCATGCAAGTGCATGCATGCATGCATACATGCATGCATATATATATAAATGCATGCATGTATGCATGCATCAGAGCATGCATGCATGTGTATCCATGTATGCATTTTGCATGCATAATGCATGCATAATGCATGCATATTATGCTTGCATGCCTACATAGTGAGTGCATGCATGCATTTATTGTTATTCTTTCTTCTTCTTATTAATGATGTGAATAGGGGTAGAGAATAAATAAAAAAAAATAATAAAATAATGCATGCATGCAGAAAAAGAAGAAAAAAATAAATAGTTTAAATATATTAATATAAATAATAAAGAATAAAAAAAAAAAAATAAATAAATAAATAATAATTGTGCATAGTTAATGCATGCAAAGTAATGGTGTTTATTTGGTGAGGTTTGCTGAGGTGTATATACACCTCATTTAGTTCTCCTAGTATCTATACAAGCTGCTCGTTATTTAGTCTATTTATATATATAAGTAAATATATATAAATAAATATAAATAAATAAATAAATATAAATAGGTAAATATAAATAAATAAATAAATAAAGTTTATTATTTAGATAATATAGAGGATAGATAATAAATATTATTATTGTGTGCATCTCTTGTGCAGCTGCTCCTCTATTTAGCAATATATACATACGTATATATACACACACGTATATATACATATATACATATATACATATATACATATATACGTATATAAATATATAGTAATTAGCTCTTGTTCCTTCCTTTTTCATCCTCAGACATTTTGTTTTAATGAGACAAAATAAATAAATAAATAAATAAATAAATAAATAAATAAATAAATAATATTAACGGTATTTGTTCTTATATATATAAATACTATAACTCTTTTGTAAAATAATAATTAAATAATTATAATTATATAATTATAATTATATAATTATAATTATATAATTATAATTATAGGGGGTAACTGCGGTTATGTTGACCATTGGTCAATGACGATCTTTTATTGATTTTCTTCTTTTGTGTTTTTATTTGAATAACAATAAACAATTATTATATAATTATATATATAATTATATATTTATATTTATATACTCGTTCTTTTTTAGGGACTTATTCAATGTTATTCTTTTTTTTCTCTTTATTTATATTATAAAGGAAATAAACAGTCTTTTTTTATTTCCTTTTTATTTATTAGACTTTTTCTTTATATACCGGCAGCAGCAGCAGCAGCAGAGAGGCGATTTTGTATCCTGTTGCTGCTTGCTGCTCGTTGGTGTTAACTTGTATTGTTATTTATGAATTCTTTTTTCTTTTTTTTTCTTTTTTTATTTATTTTAGTTAATTTAAAACATTTATAAATATATTTAAAAGTTTTATTTTTGCTGTATATATGCAAATTTAATTGCGTGACCGATGGATGCGATGCATTCATTGACTGACTAGCCAGGAGGAATTGGTGAATAATCTGATGATAAAAGTGTAAAATAAATGAATAAATAAACAATAAATAGACGAATTTTAATTTATTTATTGTTTTTAAATAAAATAAATAAATTTAATTGCCGCTTTCCTCCTTTGCGCGACGTCGATGGGCGGATTCTTAATATAAATAAATTCAACTTCGCTCGAGCCACGCAGAAAAGAGGAACAAAGAAGGAAATGATAAAATTGAGGAGAAAAAAACTTTTTGCATTCAATCTAAAGGGGAAAAGTTCATTTTTAATTTACTTTTATTTAAATTATAATTTAATTATCTTATTTTATCCTTTTTTTCCTTTTTTAACCCAAGATCCGTGTTCCACGTCAACAACAGCAGCACCACAGAGCAGCTCTTCTTCACACAGCTGCGGTGTATGTACAGCAGGATGATTGTTGATGGTTCTTCCCCGGTCTTCTGGTTGCTGTTTTTTGGTGGAAATCCTCCACTATTAGACTTATTTATATCATTAAAAGTTGAAAATAATACATTTAATTGAATTTATTCATGAGGAAACAGAGAATATAATAAGCCATCATCATCATTCCTTCTTTTCTTTGGCGGTGTTTCTTTCCCGTCAATCAACAGTCCGCACACACCATTGTATCCTTCTTTCCTCATTTTTTGTTTTTAAGACTTTTTTCTTCTTTATTTTACAATTTTTGTCTTATTTTTTATGTTTTTAAGGCAAAAAGGAGTCAAATAATCAACCCTTTGCCATTTGCTTGCAATAATTGGCAAAGAAAGTGACTATATACATTTAATACCGTTAAAAATTCTTATTGATGACGACGCATGGATGAATAATTGAATACATATTTTTTGCATGTATATATATAAATAATACAGGAAAACACACACATTTAATAACTTAATTTATTCTCCTTTATTTCTTTTTCTTCTCTTTTTCTTTTTTTTTTTTTCTTCTTTTTCTTCTTTTTATACAAGAAGAAAATGAGCGACATTTCCGACTTCAGCGAATCTGAATTGGACAACCCTCCAACCCCGAAGGCCTCTGCTGCTCGTCCGAAGGCGAAAGCAGCCCCAACTAAGTCAGCTCCTGCAGCAGCAGCAGCAGCAGCAGCAGCAGCAGAAAGCAAGAAGAAGTCTCCAGATGAGGAAAAGGACTCAAAAAAAGACAAAAAAGACCAACAGCAGCAGTCTTCTTCTTCCCCCAAGAAGCAGCAACAACAACAGCAGCAACATAAGGCACCACCACGTAGCCAACGATCCCTAGAGAGAGCACAAGGTGTCCTCTCTCCTCCTGATTTTTTTATATCTAAGGTTATTCATGATAATGAATGTTTTACCCCTAGATTAGGACATAATGTATTAGAGGCAAAAGGTATTATATTTATATTTGGTGGAGAAAATGAGGAAAAAATCACCACTAAAGATCTTATTAAATTCGAACCTAATGCTAATAGGTATATTTATATTTATTTATTTTATTTATATTTATTTATTTTATTTATTTATTTTATTTATTTATTTTATTTATTTATTTATTTTATTTATTTATTTAGTTTGTTAATTAGTTAGGTATATAGTTCATGTTTATTAGAAGTTTGAACCTAATGCTAATAATAGGTGCGCATACACCGCAAATAATATGTTTATATTTATATATATATTCAATTAATTATTTATTTATTTTGTTGATTAAATAACGTATTTATTTATTTATTTATTTATTTATTTATTTATTTATTTTTCTTCTTTTTTTTTTCTGTGCAGCTTTGAGTTGGTGGAGACGAACGGTAAATCTCCATCACCTCGTCGTTGTTCATCAATGACATTATGGCGTGACCCTGATGCAGCAGCAGCAGCAGGAGGAGGAGGAGGAGCAGCAGGAGCAGGAGCAGCAGGAGCAGGAGGTTTATGTTTATTATTATTTGGAGGAATAGGAGAAGGAAATAAAGTATTAGCTGATCCATTTATATTTGATTTAAATAATAAATCATGGAGGGAGCTCGGGTGTACAGACACCCCAAGTCCTCGTCATTCCCATGCTGCGGTGTATTGGGAGCAACAGAACAAAGTATTTATATTTGGTGGACAAGATGAGGAAGGAGCACCTATTAAGGATGCGCATGTACTAGAAAAAGGTAACTCTTTTCTTCTTCTTCTTCTTCTTCTTCTTCTTCTTCTTCTCCTGCTGCTGCTGTTGCTGCTGTTGCTGCTGCTGTTGTTGTTGTTTCTTGTCTGTTTCTGTTTTTGCTGCTGTTGTGCTGTTGCTGTTGTTGCTGTGATTGTTCCTGTCCTCCTAATACTGCAGTATTGTTACCGTAATACATTCCCTAATAAATAAATAAATAAATAAATAAATAAATAAATAATATAAATATATTTTTTTTTTATTCAGGTGTATGGCATAAATTAGAGAGTGCTAGTGAGGATTTAGCTCCTAGTGGTCGTTGTGGTCATTCAGCATGTTTATGCGAATTAGATAAAAAAATATTTATTGTTATATTTGGTGGGGATATTTCTTGTAATGGTAAAGGAGAGAATGATTTATGGTTATATGATGTACAACATGATTCATGGGATATAATTGATCAATATGCAGGAGAACCACCATGTCCTAGATGGAAGTAAGTATCATTTATTATTCTTTTTTTTTTTCCTTTTTTTCTTATTATTTATTCATTATTTATATCTTATTTATTCTTTATTACCTTTCTTTCTTTATTATCTTTCAAATAAATACCTATAAGGGGGGGTATTATTTTCTACCTTATTCCTAATTATTAGGGTTTAGGGTTTAGGGTTTAGGGTTTAGGGTTTAGGGTTTAGGGTCTAGGGTTTGAGGGCTTTTTTTTCAGACATGCTGCCGCTTTCTTTGATAATCGTTTATGGATTATGGGTGGGACATACGCTGGCTGGTTTAAGAATTATGTCATGTCAGGTATAAACCCTAAACCCTAATAAACCCTAATAAACCCTAATAAACCCTAATAAACCCTAATAAACCCTAATAAACCCTTATAAACCCTTATAAACCCTAATAAACCCTAATAAACCCTAATAAACCCTAGTAAACCCTAATAAACCCTAGTAAACCCTAATAAACCCTAGTAAAACCTTATAAACCCTTATAAACCCTAATAAACCCTAATAAATCCCTTTTCTACTACCCCTTACCATAGAATTATAGATATATATATATATATATATATCCCTTTCCCTTTCTTCGAATATGCATTTATATTCTTCC